TCAACAGGCCAAGGCAGTTTCTTTATTCATTGATCAATGAAAGCAACACATAGACAGAAGAACCTCCCACACCACAAGTGGATAAATAACTGAAAGCCAGGTATATGGAACCTGATAAAAGTCAAAGTAGGGGATAGCCTTGAACTCATTGGCACAAGAGACAAGTTCCTGAATAGAATACCAATAACACAGGCACTAAGACCAACGATCAATAGATGGGACATTGTGAAACTGAAAAGCTTCTGTATGGCAAAGGTTACCATCATTCACACAAAGCGATAGGCAGCCTACAGAATGGGAAAAGATCTTTACTAATTATACATTCCATAGAGGGTTAGTATCTAAAGCATAAAAAGAACAAAACAAAACAGACCCTGGACATTAAAAAAGAATAACCTAATTAAAAAATGGGGTACAGACTTAAGCAGAGAGTTTTCTAAAGGAATTCAAATGTCTGAGAAACACTTAAAGAAATATTCAGCATCCTTAGTCATCAGGGAAATGCAAATCAAAACTACTTTGAGATTTCATCTTACACCTATCAAAATGGCTAAGATCAATTAAAACAAATGACAGCTCATGCTGGTGAGAATGTGGAGCAAGGGGAACACTCCTCCAATGCTGTGGGGGAGAAGTGCAAACTATTCTACTATGGAAATCAATGTGGTGGTTCCTCTAGAAGCTGTGAATCATTGTCCCTCAAGATCCAGCTATACCACTCTCAAACATATGCCAAGATTTTATATCCTACTACACAGATACTTGCTCATCCATGTTCATTGCTGCTCTATTCATAATAGCCTAGATGTTCATCAACAGATGAATGAATAATGCAACCGTGGTACATTTACATAATGGAATACTACTCAGCTGTTAAAAATTTATAAAATTTGCAGGTAAATGAATAGAACTAGAAAAACCCATCCTGAGTAAGGTAACTCAGATTTTAAAGAGATAAATACTGTATGTTTTCATTTACATGTGGATATTAGCTTTTATGCCTTCAAAAGGCATGCTATAATCCATATAACCACAGAGGTTAGGCATAGAGTAAGTGACTGGGGGTAGGCAGGATATCCCAAGAATGGGAAATAGAATATATAGCTATAGAGCGATGGGGGGGAGACAAAAGTGGGAGGATTAAATGGGGAGGGGGGTTAGAAGAGAGGGGGAAGAGAGGGAATAATGAGGAAGAACAACTAACATTAAGGGCTATTTAAGGTGTCATATAGAAAAATATTACTGTAGAAAGCTTTCTTTTTTGTTTTTGTTTTATTTATTTATTTACTTTTGGTTTTTCAAGACAGGGTTTCACTGTAGCTTTGGAGCCTGTCCTGGAACTAGCTCTTGTAGACCAGGCTGGCCTCAAACTCACAGAGATCCACCTGCCTCTGCCTCCTTAGTGCTGGGATTAAAGGCGTGCGCCACCACCGCCCGGCTTGCAGAAGCTTTCTAAAATATATTGGAGTCACCAAATAAAAGGGTGTCTTAGCTAGGGTTTCTATTGCCGTGAAAAGACACCATGAGCACAGCAACTCTTATAAAGAAAGCATTTAACTGTGGTGGCTCACTTACAGTTCAGAGGTTCAGTTCCTCATGGTAGGGAGCACGGCAGCATGCAGGCAGGCACAGTGCTGGACAAACAGCCGAGTGTCCTACATCTTGCAGGCAACAGGAAGTAGACAGATTCACTGGGTGGTATCCTGAGTATATGAAATGTCAAAGCCCATCCCACAGTGACACAAATCCTCCAACAAGGCCATCCTCACTCCAACAAAGCCACACCTCCAAGCAGTGACACTCCCTATGAGAACATGGGGTTATAGGGGCCAATTACATCCAAACTACTACACAGGGCAAACAATGCCCCAACTAGACACCTTTTGCCAAGTGAAACCTCAAGAACCAGGAATGGCTTACATCTAGTGTAGATCACGCAGTGGCATGCACTCAGGTGGTCAGGCTTGGCAGCAAATGCCTTTACCATTTCTCTCGCCCCATATCTTCGATTTAATCATGAGCAAACATCAAACCCAAATTGGAAGGCATTCCCAGATTAAAGATGACCAAGCAGACATGACAACTGGACTGGACCCCAAGCTAGGAGGAGGACATTAGGACAACCGACAAAGCTGAAGCGGAAGTCCGTGCCTTTGCTCACAAGTGAGACACCATTAATGGGCACAATGGGGAGGCAGAGTTCCTGGAAGGCAGCGCTGGTAGGATTTGTATTTATGAAGCACCCATATACTTACAATGTGCTTCCCACCTATTGCCATTCCCACAAAGCTGGGGTCTAGCCACCTGCATTACAAAGATTAAAAACTGATTCTAAGACTCAGGGATTTGCTCCAAATTGGTCAGCTAGTAAGTGAAGGTACAAATTCCATCTACCTTTGTGGCTGCAATGTATTTCATCATGGTATGATTCTAACAGCCTTGGCTCACTGTGGTTCTCAAAACAAACTGTCACAGAAAGGTTCAGGTGGGGGAGGAGGGGAAACCTCAAACAAAACAACAAAAAAACTTGCCAAAATCTAAGGTTAGAAGGCCTTCTGTCAGGGCATAGCCATTTGACAGTGGAAAGAAATTGCTAGAGTTGGTTTTGTTTTGTTTCTCGGTTTTTTGACCGACACCTGCTTTGTAACCCTGCTGGATTCAAACTTGGGTGATCTTCCTGCTATAGCTTCCTGAGCATTGGGGTAACAGGTGTAGTCAAGAGGGGAAGCCAGAAACTGGCTGCACAGGCTGCTCAGGGTCTTGAGGCCACGCCAACCTTACCACATCTCTCCTAGAACTAACCCCCTTCCTCCCGCTTCCTCACATGCCGGCCCCTTTTAGCCTCACTGCCCAGTACTTTACTCAGAATATAAGTTACCCTACACACGGGAGACAAAGAAGCCAAAATTATAAAAACAAAAAACTCTACTGTATTGGGGCTCTGACTTTGAGGGTGGACATGATAAACTGTTTCTTGCAAGAGCCCTGGCCTCTGATAACAAAGCCTCTACCACCACCAATATGAGTAGCCCATGAAATTGTTAGGAAGTTTATAGACTGCAGATAAAAGCTCAATTGCTAAAGTACTTGCCTAGCATGTGTGGGGCCCTGGGTTCAATCCCCAGAACTGCAAGAAAACAAAGAACAAAGAATTGTTGGGCAAAAAGTCAGTTTGTGCAGCTGGGTATGAGTGCAGGAGCACATTCCCACAAAATCCCAGCACTCAGGAGGGAGGGGCAGGAGGATCAGGAGGGTCAAGGTCAGTCTCTCTTTATATTTACACACACACACACACACACACACACACACACACACACACACACACACACAC